AAGAACCAGTAACAGCATACCTGACCACCTCTCCTCCCACCAGTGTCCACCAAGCACAGAGCCTGCCACTTACTTGCCCAGCAGGATTTGAGTTCTACAGCAACTGGCTCTAAGGAGTACTTGTCAGGCATGGGGACACCATCAGGCCGACCAAGTGGCTCATAAGGACAATTGACTTGGCTCCATTGTCCAAACAGAACTTGATGCTTGGAATGGCAGCCTTGATCCTGCAACCAAAAGAGAAAGCACACAGAGACGTTATTCCTAGGAATTAGTAGGAACCATTTTATTCAGGACTTGATACAACATAAAAGCCCATGTTCTTCTCTAAATCCTTCAAATCTACTGTTGGTAATTCAATGGCAGAACTCAGACTGGTGTCCAAAGAAGAATTAAACATGATGCCAACCCTCCACCTAGGACTGTAGTCTTACCATGGATTGTCCCTTATACAGAAAAACAGTTAGCACATCAAGCCTGAAGCTGCTGTCTATAGCAGCATGGGATGTTGGAACCCCATACATGGATTTCTCCAGATTTCTCCTGTGTCTTTTCCCCTTTCTGATCTTGTCACGTACCTTTCATTGTAATAAACTTTAGCCATAAGAACAGCTATAATGCCAAGTCTTGTGAGCCCTAGCAAATCACCGTGGGACACATGGATGATCCCGAGGACCCTTGAAAACACCTCTCAAGTGACAATGAAATAAATAACATTCTCAAATCTAAAGCATCAAAGAAATTTGGGGAAAATGAAAAATTATAGTAATTTCTGTACACGTTATAGCTCCTGTCAATTTTTATATAAAAAATTAATGCATTATATAGAACTTGGTTTCCATAATTCATCACATTTGTTACATTATAGTTTAATCAAAACATTGGGACTGGGATGTAGTGCAATGGTAGACTGCATGCTTTGCACATGCAAGGCCCTGGGTTCAATCCCTAGCAATTAATAATAGTAATAATAGTAATAATAAATTCCCTTTAAACATTTGAAAATTGTTATAAACCTAACTTCCCATTTTTCCCAGGTTATAAAAAATTAAAATTAATAAAGAAAGGCATTTATTTATTCGGTAACATTTATTGAATGCTTCCTTTGTGCCACACACCATTTGAGGTTCTGAGAATACAACAGTTAGTTTAAAAAGTCTCTGGGGCTGAGGGTGTGGCTCAAGTGGTAGAGTGCCTACCTACCAAGCACAAGCCCCTGAGTTCAAACACCAGTGTCACCAAAAAGAAAATTCATTAAAAAAAAGTCTGATTTTAATGGGAGTGAAATTTTAATGAACAAAGAAATAATAAATGTGTGCATGTGCACACCTGTGTATTTATAATATATATAAGAGATACAGAGAAAGTAAAGCAAGGTAGGGGGACAAGGATGATTGGGAAACAATTGTGAAGGGGATTTAGATAGTTTGGCAGGGAAGTCTGATAAGGCAATATTTGAGCAGAGAATGGAATGACGAAAAAGCAGGTAACGTTTCTAACATCTCTTATGCTATCTGACAATTATAGAAACTCATACATATCAAATAAAGAAACCTGTAGGAAGTTTAAAGTTTACAAAACGAAACCAGTTAATTTTTATCAGTTCTATTATGTCTAATGCTTCATTCTGTTAATCAACCATGTGGGTTTCTGAAAATGGCGAGATGTAACCAGACATGTTTCTCTGTTTTTTATTCAGAAGAAACACACTGACAGGCAAACGTCTTTTCTGCAAGCTGAAGGATGAAAATTAACAGGGGACAGACTGCCTTGAACAAAGATCTTCCCACTACAATATAGCAGTGATGTACCCAACAAAATGCCATGCTCAATGCAGGGACAGTATCTGAAAATGTCTCAGTCTAGACCTATGCTATCCAATATGGTAAGCCATTAGCCATATGCGCCTATTTAGTATTAGGTAAGTCCTAGTCAAATTGAGATGTGCTATGTAAGTGTAAATACATGCTAGGTCTCAAAGACTTAGCACAAAAGTGTCCCTTAATTTTTTTTTTTTTTTGAGTACCAGGGTTTGGAACTATGCTTGCTAGGCAGGTGCTCTACCACTTGAGCACTCCACCAGACTTTTGTGTGGGTATTTTCAAGATAGAGTCTCACGAAGTATTTGCCCAGAGTCAGCTTTGAACTGTGATCCTCCTGATCTCTGCCTCAGTAGCTAGGATTACAGGCATGAGCCATCGATACCCGGCCTTAATTCTTATACTGACTACATATTGAAATTATAGACTCACTGGATTAAATAAAATATGGCTCACATTATATTTGTATTAGACAACACAGGTCTAGAATACTGGAAAACACCTTTCTAGCTCAAACCACTCATTTAAAATTTATAATAAAACTTTCTTTTATAATCTAATCAAAAGCAAAAGCAGTACTATCACTTAAAATTTCTGCTTTTGAAGCTAACAGCTATATTAAATGAAATGTTACTTTTGAGCTCTTTTTCCTTCTCTTTTTCAGAAGCAAACTCAAGTCAAAATTCTCAAAAAGTGACTTTATCTGGGCCATCTAGAATTGGGTCTTATAAACTATATGAAAGACTAATTACTAGTATGAAAAAATCCTTCTCTTGGATAGTTCCTCATTTTGCAAGAGAAGTCAGTTAACCTTAAACTTTGATATTCCTTAAAAAGAAATAACTCTAAATTCTTCAAATTAAAAAGGGGGGAGGGAATTACTTTCTCAGGATGATTTTTTTTTTTGTTTTGGGGCATTTTTTTCTGCAGTACTGGGGTTGAACTCAGGGCCTCGCACCCAGTGCTCTACCACTTGAGCCACTTCACCAGCAAACCCCCCGACACACACATTTTTTTGGCTTTTTGAGACAAGATCTCACTGTGTAGTCCAGGCTGACCTGGAATTTGCTATATAGACCAAGCTCAAACTCACCATACTCCTGCCTCAACATCCCAAGATCTAGGATTACAGGCATGTGCCACTATGCCAGGTAGGATTTTTTTTTCAATTTACATTTTCTCATTAATTTAGAATGTATAAATGCCTATATTCTTATAAGAAACAGCAGATGATGGGTTGGTAGAAAGCCAAAATCATGTGGCTTAAGTTGCTATAATTCTACAATATGAAAGGAAAATTTCTTATCCTATATACTCATACCCAAATACCCCGTCCCTCTCTCCCCTCCCCTCGCTACTGGGTTTAATCCAGGGCCTCATGTTTGCTAAGCAGAAGCATTGCCATTTGAGCCACACCCCACCCAATACCCGTGTGTTTCTTAAAAGCAGCCCAGGTAAGCAGGGACCTTACCGCTGGTTGTTTGTTATCTGGTTGTTCTTCATAGGAACATTGAAATCCACTCTAAAAAAGAAGCAAAGTTTCAGAGTTATGATCAACTTACCATTTCCTCAATGATTAGATGAAGTACTTTTATTGAACCAGTTAAGTAAGATGCAAGTTCAAATATAATCAGTGGCATTAAAAGTCAAGATAATTAACCATGGGGAAAAGGTGGAAGCAAGGACTGGGAAAGGACACCAAAAGGGGTTTCTGATTCTGACAATGTTCAAATTCTTCTCCACGGAGTGATTATACAAATGTGCTCATTTTATGATAATTTTTGCTCTTATAATTTGTGCCCTTTTAGGTATGTATCTCATACTTTAAAAAGAAATTTGAAAAAGTAAAGCCTAACTTAAATCACAGGAACCAGCCCTAAAGACCTTGGAGCTAAAGCTAGTTCATCTATCTTACCTGGCATAATTAGTATCTGAATAGCAGCCCAAGGAGGTGAGGAATAATAAGGAACACATCTTTCAATCATTCTTTTGAGACTATTTATGGATCCTTCGATCTTTGTGAAACCAACATCACTCAAAAGAAAAAATTAATCAGAAAAATTAAACACATCAAGAGAATATCATTCTTTTGGAGAAAGTCTAGCACTTAAGAGTAGGAAGAAACCAGGAAGCTCATGCACTACCTTCAGGCAACATATAAAATTATAAATAAGATAGCCTCTTTCAAAGAGCCTAAGAGAAGGTGAGACATGTGCCCCAGCCCATGTGACAAACAGGAAATTAGAAAAGAAGTGATCAACATGGCACAAGATAATAATGTACTACAGTCTTTCCTTCATACCTAACAAATTATTGCTTTACCATTTTTAAGAACAAATTCTTCTGAACTCCTATGTACCAGCTACTTTTAATATTTAAGTTTTGCCTGTCAAAATCACTTTAGGGTTTGTGGTTATTGTTGTTCTGAGACAGGGTCTTCTTGTTCTGTAGCCCGGGTTGTCCTCAAACTCACAATTCTCCTGCTCAGCTTCCTGAGTACTATTATAGATGTGCACCATCACACCCAGTCCAAGATCATTTTTAGTGATTTTTCTTGTATGTAGAATGGGAGTGAAGTATCTAGCTCATAGCTATTAAGAAAATTACATATGTTAGCAATATGTAAAATGCTAAGAATACTGGGCACACAGTAAGTGTCACAAAAGTGTTAGCTATTATTGTAAATGTTAATGCTTCTCCAGACTGTAATTTTGAGATTTAAAAGATAGATCAGCCATTCCTAAAAACAGCTAGCACCAACTCACTAAGGAACTACAGGGAAATGTGAACTAGTCAAAAAGACTGCTGCTGTCCTCATCACCAAACTCCATCATTTCCCTCTGCCTTTTCTCTCTATAGCTGAGTGAGGGCTGGCAGATGATTATAATATCCTACAGACCTAAGGAGAAGAACATTAATCTATACACCATAGGCCTGAACCCCAATCTACCTCACTGAAGAGCAGCCTTTCTAAAGGTGGACAGGGAAATAATTCTATATTAAAAACATTTAAAGAATGTCTTCAAAATTAAAGGTACTATCCCACCGAACAAAGAAATACACTCTACTTGGTTTCAGTCCACTTGACTCTGATTCTAAGCATCTTCTTTAAATATCTTGAACCAGGCACTTGCCAGCCTTAAAGTGCATTCCAAAGAGGATCAAGTACCCCATTACCATGGGTCATTTTCCCCCATGCAGCCTCCCAGAAAGGTTCCCCGGTCAAAGGGCTAATGGTAAGATGGTGAGAACAAGCCACACATTGCTGTGCTGCTCTCTACCTTAGAATCTTACAGAAACACATTTTGTGCAGAAGCACCCAAGAATCTGTCTCATCTATCCAAGTTGCCATGGCATCAGCTTACTGATGAAAATTGGGTTGGTATTGTCTCCTCATTGCCCTCTGGATTACCTCCCCTCATCATCTCCTACACTCAAAAGCTTTTTAGCTTTTCCTATGAGGACTCCAATACAGGAACTGCTCTTGCTTATGTATTCTACTTTCTCCATTTTTTATAAAATCTGCACCCTTTCATTTTCAACTTCCCTGAAACATTCACAAGCTTTGCCTCAGGAACGAATTAAGGTATCACTACACACACATCAGAATGGCCAAAATTAAAAATGACACCAACACATGTTGGTAAGGATGCAAAGAAACCAATCACATGTACTGCTAATAGGAATGCAAAATGGTGCTGTAGTACCATTTGTGGATCCACAAAAGGCTAAATATGAGTGTTAAGAGTGCTTGCCAAGCATGTACATGGTGCTGGATTCAACCACAGCATGGAAAAAAAATGGGGGGGAGGGGTGGTAAATATGACCCAGCAATTCCATTCCTAGATGTTTACCGAGTAGAAATCACAGCCTAGACTTGTACAAGAATGTTTATAGGAGCTTCATTTTTAACAGCCCCAAAACAGAAAGAACCCAAATGTCCTTCAATGGATGAATGGTTAAACTTTGATATACCATGGAAAACTACTCAGCAGTACAAAGGAATGTACTGTTGACACAACTTGGATAAATCCTGGATAAATGCTGAGTGAAAAAAGTCAATTTCAAAAAGTTACATACTATGTGAATTCATTTATCTAACATTTAGGAAATTGACAAAATTCTAGAAACAGCACAGATTAGTAATTACCAGGAGTTAAGAATGGGGGTCATAACTATAAGGGGGGTAGCATGAGGAAGAGCTTAGTAGTGACCAAACATTCTGTATCTTTTCTTTGGTGGGACTGGGGTTTGAATTCAGGTCTCTGGGCTCTACCACTTGCACCACAGCTCCAGTCTGTTTTGCTCTGAGTTTTTTGGAGATGGGGTCTTGCAAACTGTATGCCCAAGATGGCCTCAAATTGCAATCCTCTCAGTCTCAGCCTTCCAAATAGCTAGGATTATGGGTGTGAGCCACTGTACTGAAGATTGGACTAAGCAAGTGCTCTACCACTTGAGCCATGTCCCCAGTCCATTTTTACTTTTTAGTTATTTTTTTCATATGGGGTCCTGTGTTTTTTGTCTAGGCCAGCCTAGGACTATGATCCTCCTACATAGCTGGGATTACAGACAAACACCACCATGGCAGACTTGTTCAATGAGACTGGATCTTGCTTTTACACACAGCCCAAGCTGGCCCGGAACCATGATCCTTCTTATCTCTGTCTCTCAGATATCTTGATTGTGATGGTGGTGGTTATACAACTCTACACGTGTGCTAAAATTGCATAGAACAGTATATACTTTAAACCAATGTCAAATTCCTAGTTTTGACATTGCACTATAATTATGTAAGATGTATCCATGGTGGGAAACTGAACACAAGACATTTTTGTACAATCTTTGCAATGTTTTGTGAATCAATAATTATAATTTTTAATTAATTTTTTTTAAATTGATTTAGTTGGAATGTGAAGTCTTTAGGCCTTGAAATCTAAGGATTTCAGGCCCAATTCCATTAAAAACTCAAAGGAACCATGTCCATCACTGTTTCACTCTCTCTGACTGGAAAACTGGGGTATTATGGCCGTCTTTGAGTTTTTTCCTCTGCTCTTTATTTTTTCTCATTCCACTGCATTGGGGCTGTTGCTTAACAAGTTACAACAAGTTAGAGAAAACCAGTGAGATTTAAAAAACAGGAGGGAACAAGGAAAAGGGAAGTATTTTACAAGCAGAGGATGACTGGCAACCTATCAGCCAAAAGAAAGGAAATAACATCGCGAAAATAAGCAGGATTTTACTTTGAGTAAGTTTCAACTGGAGTCCTAAAATCCTGAGGTGGAACCTGGTAAGTAACCAGTCAGAGGTTTCTGGTTTGGAGGTTTCCCCACCAAATCAGTCAATTTCCCTTGGCAATTCAAACCACGGGACCAGACAAGTCAATAAACACCAGCATTCCCTTCTACCAGACCAACAGAGGTGGCAAATGAAGCAGCCACTACTCAGGCAGCCCCATTTCTGAAATACTGCCAGCAACTACCACATAAAGGCACTGAAACAAAAAGGAACTGGCTGCCTAGACACCTCTAAAAAGTAAAGCTACAATGTGCCTCTCTGTTGAAGAGACACATTAATAATCAGGGAACAAAGTAACTTCCTGTCCTCAGCCTATCCCCCTGTCCATATTACAGGGGGAAATTATCGATTGCAACCTTCAGCAGACAAAAGGTCTATTTCAACCTGCCCTTGGTCAACATGTCCAAGTATTTAGAGGATCTAATTGGTAGCCAAGGAGATCCAAATTCTAGTACTGGCTCTTCCATAAACTTGCTGGTTCAATAACCTTACAGAAGGTCATGTTCCATCAGCAAAATAAGACTAGTCAATCATTTCAAGGCTCAGGGTTAATCTGTGCTAAATGAAACTTTATTAGGTACGGAGGGAGAAAAAGATAAGCGCCTCCTCCAGTCCCACCCCCAACCACCAGCAGAGAGAGGAGATAAAGCCCAAGACTGCACTCAGAGGAATGTGACTAGTATGATGCCCCACTCCTTGTCCTTCAGCCAGTGCATGCATCTGGAAAGGTCAGCCTTGAGCACAGTGGAGAGGGGAGGAAATTTGAACCTAAGAGCCTGTCCTGTTTTTCACAGGGTCTATCCCCTTTCCTTAGGATGGTATGAGAGCCAGAAAGAGCCCTTATCTAATACTAGGATGGCTGGGATTCCTACCTTGTCCAGAATACTAAATCCTATCCCATTTGGGGAAATGTAGACATCAGGTGTTTCTCATGGACATAACCTATCGGGATGTCTTTCTCCACAGTGAGACAGAGAAGGCCACCTGACAATAAAACAAGAAGGGGAGAGCTACATGAATTTCTAGGATGCCCATAGTTCTCTAACTTGCAAATGCCCTTACATGTTTAAAGAAGCTGTAGAAGGAGATCACTGTGCCCGTTAATATCCAAAATATGTTTCACTTGAAAGAGACTAAATTGTGGAATGAAAGGGGCTGATCACACCACACACCTGCTTCTGAAAACAGTCAAGGCTGCAAGAGGCAATCAATGGAACTCCTTATGGCCCTTCAAAACTACTATCCTTTGGATCCTAGCAAGTTCTAGGAACAGTCAAGTCAATCAGTTATGCACCTAACCATCATCCTGCACTTTGCTCCTAGCATACACAAAAAAGATGTAAAGGTAAAAGTTACATCATATTAGTAATTCTGGCAGATAAGAGAGAAGCCACCTTAAATGACCAGAGAGCCACATAAGAAGAGTAAAAGACCCCCAATTGTATGGGGTGCCTTCCTCACTTCTAATATCCTGCTCCTCTAGCCCCATGCGGGGGTGAGGCTGTACGACAGCAAGTCTGAGCAGCCACACCCTGCTCTACCATAAGCAGGCATGTGTCACAATCCTGATGCAAACCCTGTGGCCTGGCACGGTACAGCAAGCCTGTTACATAAGCTGTACAGAGCCTCATCCGGTGGGCCTCACCCTCCCACCCCCAATTCTTTCGAAGAGCTCCCACTCCTGAACATCCTCTGGGAATGGTATCCATTTGTACAGAGGCCTTTGAAATTTGGGTCGTTTCCCATTTGTCTGGGATGGTCTAAGGTCGGAAGGGGAAGGGAAATCAACCAAATGACCTTTCAAGGTCCCTTCCTTGGAACCTAGAGATTTGAAGAATAAACACTAGGTCCCACCTCTCCGGCGGGGACCTCGCGATGATATAGCTGCATTTCATAAATAGGAAAGAGGGGGAAAAAATTTTAAAAGAGAAAAAAGAAAGGCCCTGGCGATCTTAATTCTTTCAGTGGGACCCACTCCCAAAAGGTGACTAAGGCCGCTTTCTGGGCTGGGAGAAAAGCGGTTACAAATCATCAAACCCAGACACAGCTTCAGTCCCAACGGAGAGCTGCCTCGCCGGCAAGCTTAGGACCCCTGGGATCCAGCTGAAAGGTAAGAGCAACTTTGGGCAAACAGGCAAGGCAAGTCGGGCCGGCCGGAGAGGCTGCGGCAGAACCCCGAGGGCACGTGGATAAAAGTATACAATTACCTCATAACGACCCGCTTCCCCTTCACGTCCAGCTTGTCCAGAGTCAGCTTGTTAGAAAGCGACATTTTGCTAATACTGCGAGGGCGAGAGAGGCGGAGAGCTCACACAGCAGCGGGTACTTACGACCGACATGCACTACTGACGCATGCAGAATGCGGAGCACCGCGCGGGCCGGGAGCGCGCCCGCACCGCCCCCCCAACGCCCCGCCTTCCGCCAGGCACCGCCCCTTCCCGGCCGTCGCTCTGGGCGCGCGAAGCCGAGCAGCCGCTATTGGCCGCAGCCCAAAGGGCAGGCGCGCTGCCATTGCTTCAAAGTGCTGTCCGTCTGCGAGGGGACTGGTGAGACGTGCGGCTTCCATTTGTCACGTCCTGCACGCTGTGAGCAGCAGGAACCTTCCTGACTGGGTGGAGCGGGAGGCCACGCCGTGGGGCCCGCAGGTGGGGCGGAAGGGAACTAGGTGGTGCCACAGCCGGACGTGGAGGGCGCGCGAGGCTGCATCCCTTCGCAAACCGGCTACTACTGCCTTTGGGAAAGCGCCCCACCCCCACCCCCTTGGAATTCCCAGCAGCCCTACCAGGAGCTTTGTAAATGCCACCTCCTTTTGGGAAACCTTGGCTACCTAAAATAGAATTCTGCTACATAAGGCCTTTACTTAATAATTAAGACCTCTCAGAAGTCGGAAAAAGCCCAGATCCTCCTCCCCCTTTTTATAATAAAAAGCGCAATAATTGTTCTGATTACATTATTAATGTAATGCAAAAACATACAGCGTCTTTCGTACATTAACTAATTTAGTGCTCACAGAATTTCAAAGAAGTTACTGTCATTTTCATTTTGCAATGAAGTAACTGATGGACAAAGAGGTTTAGTGATGTGCCTGGGGTTGCAGAGCTTGGATCTAGAGTCCACACATTTATATTATAGATGCTACTGCTAAGGAGCTAGGTAACTTGATGACCATGCTTACAGAGTTAGCTCAAATGAAATCATTTGAGTCAGAAACAAAATTTTCCTACCTATGGTATTCAAGGTCCACATAAAATACAGGAACATAGTAATTCATAATGCATTGAAATTAAGACACAAGTGTATCTGATGAAACACAAATTTAAAGTTATAATCATCCATTTCTTTCAATCCTGTCGCTGAATATTACAGGAAATCTCATTGGGAAATAATTCCTTGAAGCTACTTCAAATGAGTCTACATTTGAGGCCCAGATGGACCTTCTGGCCTTCTGTAATCTATCATTTAACCTGGGTAGTGGATTCTTTTTGGATAAAATAGAATTGCAACAAAGGACATCAGCAAGGAAACAAAACAAGCATAGACTCTGACAGCCTGGACTTAGTGATTCTTTCCAGTTATTGAGCACTTATTGTTTACCAGTCAGAGTGACACTGGAGTTTTGGACCAACGACCCAAACTTCTGGGATTCCACATATCAGGTCCGGCCACTCACCCCTATACTCCAAATAAAAAGGCATGGTGAAGGACAGAAAGGAGATTTATTACATAGCCTGGGACACACCACGGGAAGAAGCAAAAGTAAGCATTCAGCCCATCTTCAGTCATCCTCAGGGTACAGATGTGAGCTTTAGGTTTAAATAGACAAAGAATTAGGGCAGTGGACAAAAGGTATGTATAAATATTCCCAGTTACAGCTGTGGCTTGGTTGGACATCATCTCAGTTCTGGTTCTCAGAGGGTTCTGGAGAAGTTGTTATCGCTGCCATCACTTGAAGGGATCAGTCTGGTTCCCAAGACTTGATTACTCCTGCTCCAAGGTACAGCTTTATCATTATAGGTAATTGCCCTCATTTGGAGGGGTGATCTGTCCTGCAAGGCTCTCCTGTTCCCTAAGGGTAGTTTCCATCCCTTGTCAAAAAGATGTTATCCTGTCCTTCCTTGATTCCAAGGTGGCTGCAGGAGACAATGGCTCAGAGCAAAGGACAACAGGTACAAAATGGAGACAGAGATGCCAGCCTTTTCTCCTGTTTTTAGTTCATTCATAGGCCCAAGTAAGGAGTCACTGCTTTTCAGCAAAAGCTGAGGCTGAACACACATGACTCATTTACTCACAATAGCTTTATGAAGTAGGTACTCTATTTTACAAATGGGAACATTGAAGTTCATAAAGATGAGGAAGCTTTTTCCACCACAGAGCTGAAATAGTAGCAGAGATGCAAAAATGGGACAACACAAAAACTGGAAAATAGAGATGGAGAAGAGATGTCTAAAATTATGTTGGTGAAACAAGGTAAGCATGAATCAGATCCCTTGACCCTAATAATAGTGTTAAAGATACAATTTGTATCCTAAGAGAAATGGGAAGCAGTCACTGTTGCCTACCCAATAACCATTTCCTAACCAGCACCTTCCTTCCTAGCAGAAATCTGATTTGATAGGGTATTGGGCCAGTGACAAGTGCTCAAGAAAAACAGGCTTATCTCTCAGCACCAAGAGATGAATCACTATTGACCTAAACTAAGCATGGTAACCCCATCCCCCCCTTTGCCACTCATTGGTCTGGGAATGAGCATTGACCTAGTTTGGGTCAATGAGATAAAAGAAGTCTGTTGATGTGATCTGGGAAACACTGCTGTTTGATAAAACAGAGATTAGCTAGAAGAGAAAGGCCTTTGTTCTTTTTGCCGCTGGCCCCCCCATTCCTTTTTTGAGATGTTGTCCTATGAGAACATTATATTTTGAATTTTGATGATTTTAAAATATGTCAACTCTCCAGCATTGCAAAGAGAGAGAGACTAATTCTGCTCCCCTTGAATGTGGGCTGTACAAAGTGACTTGCTTCTTATTAATAGAATGTCATGAGGCTAGGGTGTAGCTTAGTAGTAGAGTGCTTGCCTAGCATGCATAAGACCTTGGATTCTATCCCCAACATCACAAAAAAAAAAGATCAAGCCAAAAAGATGTGTATTTCTTTTCTCTCTCTCTCTCTTTCTCTCTTTCTCTCTCTCACACACACACAGACATGTACACATACACACACACACACACACACACACACACACATCTTTTACTCTGGGGAAGCCAGCTGCCATGTCATGGGGACACTCAAACAGCTTTATAGAGCACATGGTAAAGAACTGAGGCATCCTGTCAACAGCCAGTGAGAAACTGAGATCTCCTGCCAGAGCTATGTGAATGAGCCATCTTAGAAGTGGACTCTCCAGCCCCAGTTAAGCTTTCAGATGTCTGCAGCCCTGGCCAACATGCTAACTGTAATCTCATGAAACACATTGAGCCAGAGCTACCCAGCTTGGCTACAGCCAAATTTCTGACCCACAGAAAGTGTGAAATAAATGTTTGTTGTTTCAAGGTACCAAATATTGAGGTGTTTTGTTACTCAGCAATAGATAATAGAGTTCCAGCAATGATTTTGCCTCCATGAATAAATAGTCAGTCCAGGTGCAATGGCTCAAGCCTTTAATCCTAGAAAATTAGGAGGCAGAGATCAGGAAGATCATGGCTCAAAGCCAGCTTGGGCGAAATATTCATGAGACCCATCTCAACCAAGGACTGGGCACAGTGACATGTGTCTGTTATCCCAGCTGAAGTGGAGAAGCACAAATAGGAGGATTGCAGTCTAGGCTTGGCTGGGAAAAAAGCAAAACCCTATCTCAAAAATAACCAACACAAAAAGGGCTGGGGCATGACTCAAGTGGTAGAACACCTGCCTAGCAAGCATGAGATCCTGAGCTCAACCCCCAGTACTGCCACAAAAAAGAATAAATAATCACTCAAAAATTGAGAATAGCAGAATAAAACTATTGAACAAACCTGAATCCTTGATAACATCAGTGACCTGCTGAATTAACCATGTCACTGTCCTACCATCCAATTTCTTGTCATGACATAAACAAACTATAATATGTTTCACCAAGTATACTGTTGCATGCAGCAGAAAACATCTTGCTATACTATCGAAGGGAAATTTCTTTAAGCAAGAATGGTATGATCAAGTTTACATTTTTAAAAAATTCATTCTTTTTTTTAAGATGGGATCTTGTAACCCAAACTGGCCTAGAACTCACTATGTAACCCAGTATGGATTCAAACTCACAATCCTCCTGCCTCAGCCTCCTGAGTCTGAGATTACAGATGTGAAACATCATACCTAGCTACAAATTCACTCTGGGTGGAGTCCCAATTTTGCTAATCTTGGACTAGATTATTTGGGACTAATCCTCCCACTGAGAAATAGTAGAAAAACTGGACAAAATTTAAAAGCATCTGTTTTCTATATTGGAGAACTAACAAGGACGGTGAAGAAAAGAATAAAATGATTTGGATTTTTAATACCACTCTCCCAGTAGCAAGGGTGGTCAAATACCTACAGTACGGGATTTTTCCTAAACTGACTTGGCAGGATTTTTGGTAAAACTGGGCTCTTCAGTGACAAGGATGAAATCCTAAGGTCAGTTCTAACCATGCAAAGAACATAGAAGAGCCAGACTAAACTTGCGGCCAAAGGAGAGAGTCTGTCAGTTGTAGTTGCAGTTATCTGAAGACTTGACTTCCAAGGCTGTTGGAAAGAGATCTCTGTTTCTTACCAGGTAACAGTGATCCTCTCCATCAAGTTGTTTGAGTATCCTTGTGAAATGACAACTGGATTTCCCGGAATAAATTATCCAAATGACTGAACAAGAAGGAAGCTGCAATACTCTTTATGACTTGTTCTCAGAAGTCACACACCATCATTTCAACCATATTCTATTCATTTCAAGTGGATCACTAAGACCAGTCTACCTCTGAGGGGAGAGTTATTGGGTTTTACCTCTTGAGTGCTGTGGTTACCACCACACCTGGCTGGTTGGCAACTTTTTATAATAGTATAGGCTATTTCTGTAGAATCTCCCTCAGTTTAATTTGTCTGATCCATCTTATGATCCAATGACCTTATTCCAGCTTTGCATTTGGGATGGAAATATTTGTAAGTAATATTCTCAGTGCAATCATATTAGGAAACACAGGATGTTGGTTGATATGTTATCGGTGATGTTAACTTTGATCATTTGGTTAAGTCAGTCTCTGACAAGTTTCACTATCGTAAGATTATGCTTTTTCCCTTAGACTGTAATCAGTAAGTAATTTGTAAAAAGACACTGTGAGTCTGTGTAAATA